TTCGAACCTGCCACCCTTGGTGCATGTGGCCAGTGCCATAACCACTGTTAAAGGTGCAGAGCCCAAACTTAACTTTTTAACATGCATCATCTCCTGCTTATATAATCAGCCCTCCACATCCTTGGATTTAACTAACTACACATCAAATAATTAAAAAAAAAAAAAAAAAAGACTGGTTGGCGCCTGTGAGTCAGTGGGTAGGGCGCCAGCTCCATGTACCAAGGGTGGCAGATTCAAACTTGGCCCCGGCCAAACTGCAACAAAAAAATAGCCAGGCATTGTGGTGGGCGCCTGTAGTCCCAGCTACTCAGGAGGCTGAGGCAAGAGAATTGCCTAAGCCCAAGAGTTGGAGGTTGTTGCAAGCTATGACGCCACAGCATTCTACCAAGAGCGATAAAGTGAGACTCTGTCTCTAAAAAAAATAATAATAATTTAAAAAATTTAAAAAGTAAAAATAACAATACAACAATAAACATAATACAAATTTTAAAAATACAGTGTAACAATTATTTATACAGCATGTACATTACATTAGGTACTTTAAGTTCTAAAGAGGATTTAAAGTACACAGGAAGATGCACACAGGCTGTATGCAAATACTATACCATTCTATATAAATTTGAGCATCCTCAAATTTTGCCGATGTGCTGAAACCAGTCCCACCTCTACAAACTGGGAAGAGTCTGTCCTGAAACCATTCTCCAGCGGACACCCAGAGATGACTATGTTTACATTACCTTCCAACCATCAGCTCAAGCACTCAGAACCGGGAGAGGGGGGGCATAATTTCAGGTTTTTCTAGATACAGATGACCAATTTGGAAGACAGCCATTGTCAAAACTGCCGCTCTGGGTATACATAAGCAGAATGAGACTTTTACCTTCAGTCCAGGCACCCTTTCCTCAAGATGCTAAATTTGAAAATAAAGCTCTTTATTGGTGGCAATATAAGCCCAGGCTAGTAATAAAATGAAGTAAATAAAAGTCAAGAAACTCTCTTGCTAGACTGAACATAAAATCCAAATATCAGTTCTTAAAGACTCAGTACAATCCTTGAGGAGTTGGTGACAAAACTGGGTATCACAGGCAAGTGATAAAGGCAGCCCTCAAAGAGAAAAATACAAAATAACAACACTCCAAAGGGCTGACGGACTGCATCAGATTCACCTTTGAGGCCCAAATACCTAGGACAGACCAAGAACACATAGCGGTAAGTACAGTATGCACAGACATGTGATGGTCGGCCAAGCACTTGCACTGCCTCTCTGTATGGGGGATCCACTGGCTAATTTCCTCACTCATACTATGTTCTTTCCCTCCACCCGCAAATGACTTAAGGGTCAAAAAGGACAAGGAAACGATTTTTAAAAAGGAATCACTCTGGGTTCTCAGCCTTCTGTGTTACGCTTCTGCAGTTAAGTCCTGTCTTAGCCAAATCCTCTCCATATACCAGGGTACTACCAGCCATTCAAAGCACCGAAAACCACCTTATACCCTACCTATCTGGAGATATCAAGCTCTGTACACAAAAGTAGCTAATTCCAAATCTACTACTATTATTCACATTTAACATTTAAGTTTTAAACAGCTGGCTCTACTTTAAAATTCTCTCTAGATCCTTTTGCAGTCCATGAGCGTGACGACAGGTTTTTCATGCGCATGCGTGAGATGGCCTCCCACAAATCCTGTTAGGATGGCAGCACAGCACCCATCTGACATGAAAATAAACAAATACATAATTCACTCTAAAGTCTATCCACAGTATAATGCCAGAGTTTCTTAACAACCTCTACTTTCTCTGAATGCTGTTTCTTTCTAGATTCCGTATCCACCATCTAGATCCAGATTTGACCAACTTAATGGATTCCTTAGATTCTGCCCCTAGACTGATCTACCCATGAACAAACCACAGTATGGAGCTGCTTCTGCTTACAGCTTTTAAAAGCCACACACTGAGTCTCTCTTATCACCACCGGTTCCTCAATCGAAGTCTCTAGCTCCCATTACCACTGACTCCTACGTGAGAGTTACTGTGGGCCTCCAAGTCTCTTAAGAAAAAAGGGATCTGGTGATTTATAAGCTGCTGGGAGAAGAAGGGTAAGCCACGACAAAGATAAAAGCAAGGGCAATGCTTACAGAGAGCAACGGCATTTAATTTAGACCAAGAACAAAGCGATAACTGGGAGGCCATAAAAAAGATCAGAAGTTGCTGTTCAAAGACTTGATAAGAAGAACCACCGCAAAATGAAGCACAAGTTGCTCTCCAGAAGGCCTCAGAGCTAACAATGTGATTTCTTCTCCCCAAAGAAAGGGAGTCTGACAATTAATATTTTTGTTAAATGAACTAAGATTTCTTTTTAGACATTAAGTTAATCAAATGGTTTTTATTTTATTTTTTTTTTTATTGAATGGTAACTATGTACATTAATGCACTTCTGGGATACAGTGTGGAGTTTTCACACCCAATCCGAAATACTCCCATCTAACTGGTCAGCACAGCCTTCATGTCATTTTCTCAGTTATTGTTTTAAAACGTTCACATTCTACTCTTAGAAAGATTCACTTGTACCCCTGTAAGATAAACCTCAGAAGTGATCCCTCCAATCTCCCTCCCTCCACCCATTCTCCTCTCCCTCCCCTCTCCCTCCCCATATTCTTAGGCTATTTGGTTATAGCTTTCATATAAAAGGTATAAATTAATTTCATAATAGGGGTGTGTACATTTTCCTCCATTCTTGTGATACTTTGCTCAGAAGAACATTTTCCAGCAACAAATGGTTTTTAAAAATAAAAGTTTGAGATATCCTGAATTATTATTTATTTTTTCTATTGTACACTGAATCTTTTTTACTATTTGAACCAGGTTGTGCCACATTCTGACTTTTTCTGAAGTAATAATATACACTATATTACAAAGTAGAGCTCTTCACGGACTGCGCACAGCTTTGCAACCAACACCTACTTCCACAAACAGAACACTCTTAGCACTTACAAATGCCCATCTACACTCCTTTGTGGTCATTACTGCTTTCCCCCCAAAGCCTGACTTCTCACGGTATAGATTAGTTTTGCCATTATGTAGCCCGCACTCTGGTATTCAGCTTCTGCGTCAGTTATCTACTCATTGCCTCCTAACTCCAAACTCACCCTTCAGTACCAGCTCTGCAGTAAGTGGGCTGGACCTGCCAGCTTTTCTCCTCTACAGAGTGTGATACTAAGCTTGGTCAGCAGAGGGAGCTTGAGGGACACTGTCGGCGGAAAGCGCGTGTCTTCCGGTTGAAGAGCGCAGTGCCTTCCTGCTCTTGCTTCCCAGTCACCAGCGAGTACATGTGGGGACATGCGGTGGTCTCTGTCCTAGTCCCATGCCCAGAGCATGGGGTCCCTCAGCAGCCACACAGCTGTCACAGGTGGCTTAGTGACCACCTTCCCTTGGTCCTCCAGACACAGACTCCAGGCCTCATGCATACGATAGCATCCCGGAGGGCTGTTTCCGCAGCTGCCCACACCGCCTCCCACTGCGTGCCTGCTCACCGGACTTGCTCCTATGGCCTTCTCGGTGTGGACACTGCATCGCAGTGGCACCCCACCTCCCTTTCTGCGGGCCTACCTACTGGCCTGGGTTCACCCAATCCCAGAGATTTGTTTCCTGTATACTTGTCCTCTGACCCTGGCAACCCAGAGAACTTCTGTGCTGCCCAATGAGCTACAACCACACCTTGTCCAGTGAAATGTGAGCCCTAGCCCTGGGAAAAGGCCCTCTGCCCTCCCAATCCATCCGGAGTATAAACGATTTTCTGAAGTTATTTAACTTCAATAAATAGCAGAGCTTAGACTTGTTCCCAAGACAGTTAGATTCTAGAGCCCAAGATCTTTCTGTTAACACCAATCTGGATGAGATTGAAGACACTTCATCAGACTCTAATTCTATGAAGAGAGTGAAGATTCCATTACCCAATAGAGTGCCTGGCACATAGAAGGTGCTCTGTAAGTATCCATTCAATTAATGGAGATCCTGGCATTGGAATAACTCTTTATATGCAACCTAAAGTCATAAGTTCAGCAATCTTTAGCCTATATAATGAATGTTACATGACAACCCTACCTGAAAAAATATGATACTGCAGGTTATCTTGACATTAAAGGATATAAACTCCCACACCAAATGAAGAGGAGGCACTGAATTCTGAAAGTTTCAAATTTGGAGTAGGTGATAACAATTATCTGTGACCCAAGAAAAGGAATGGAGGTGCGTCATCTAATAAGAAAGATGGGATGGCTCGGCGCCCATAGCTCAGTGGCTAGGGCACCAGCCACATACCCAGAGCTGACGGGTTCAGCCTGGGCCTGCCAAACAACAATAACAACTACAACAAAAAAATAGCCAGGCGTTGTGGCGGGCACCTGTAGTCCCAGCTACTTCGGAGGCCGAAGCAAGAGAATCGCTTAAGCCCAAGAGTTTGAGGTTGTTGTGAGCTGTGACGCCACAGTACTCTACCGAGGGCAATATACTAAGACTGTCTAAAAAAAAAAAAAAGGAAGATGGGACCAGTACATAAAATAACTGGAGAATAATACAATATCAACAAAAACAAAACAAAAATAAACACTAAGACCCAACCCTAAAAAAACTAAGAGCTATGCAAGCTAAGAGACTGCATAGCAATGGAAGTTTGAAAGCTATTTCTCAAAGCACAGAGAATATGCAGGTCTGAAGAGAAGACCAAAAAAAAGCCTGGGAGTTTACTCTACATTTCACCACTTGACTTGGGGAGGGCTCTTTGATCACAAGGCAGCCATAGAGAAATTAGCTCAGGTAATGGCAACTACGCAGATATACCAACTAGCTCCAAGCTTGGGGCCTGATAGGCCATAAGAAAATGGGCAGAAGTGGGTTCCGGATGTAGCTGAGCACAAGAGTAAGAGCAAAGGGCCCATCAACTCAATGTTCAGATAGATAGTGGATCTAACTTTCTGCTAAATTCCGGTCGGCAATACCCTCAGGCAAGCAAATGTTATTTTAACAATTGCTACATGGGGAAGGAAGACAAAGGAGAGAAAGGAAAGAGGGAGGGGGAGAGGAAGGGAGGACAGAGAGTCAGAGAGACAAACCATCTAAAATGTAAATGGATGTACTTCTCTGTGTGTTGTTATTGTTCAATAAAAAGTCTACCCTGGGAAAAAACTGGGCTGTTCTCTCTCCAAGACTATCTGAAGCTTTAAGTTGCCAGGATGAGTCCTACCTATTCTTTGGAATAATGAAATCATCCCCCAGTTTTTTCTTCTCTAGGATAAATACTCCCAGTTTCTAATCAAATATTAGTCACTCACATATTTTCTGCTGTCTCCTGTGCCTTTTATGTCTCCTTAATTTGTAAAATTAAAGATACTCTTATCAGGTTAGTATCAACTCTTATAAATATGCTTTGAAACCTAGTTAAACCTCCTGGTGAAATGCTAACAGCACTTCCCTTAAGAAACTGGGAACAGTGTGGCTCCTGTGGCTCAAAGGAGTAGGGCGTGGGCCCCATATGCCAGAGGTGGCGGGTTCAAACTCAGCCCCTGCCAAAAACTGCCAAAAAAAAAAAGAAAAGAAAAGAAAAGAAAAAAGAAACTGGGAACAAGGCATGTGCCATCTATCAGTGTGGCTCTGGATCTTCTAGAGAATATAGGGAAAGAGTAAGACATATATAAACTGGAAAGACACAAAATTATTGTTTATAGATGTGACTGGTTATCTTGTAAATAAGCCCTTAAGAAACAACTAGAAAACCATGATAACCAAGAAAAAGACTTTATGAGTTGACCAGTAAAAAACAATTTTGTACAGGCTCAGCACCCATAGTTCAGTGAGTAGGGCACCAGCCACATACACCAAGGCTGGTGGG